ACAGGAGCTATTCACATCGGCCCCCTGCACCATCTGCCTGAATGGCAGCTCTGGGGGAGCTGCAGCCCCCCCGCGCTGCCTCTGCACGGCCTCAGCACTCACTGCCTGCTCCAAGTCTCTCCCCAAGTGCAGAAAATCAGGGGCTGAAAGCAAAGAGAGGATGTCACTCAGGTCAAAGCAGACTGTCAAGAGGGGGAAAAAAAAGGAGGGTGGGGAAAGAGTCAATGCTTCATTGGCTGGAGTGCCAGGCTGCTGTTCTCTTGGGAGCAGAGGTGTTAGTTTCAACATGAAGATGTGGAGGGTAAGGCAATGCAACAACTAGATGGCACGAGAATGGGGAGAAATCCCATCTTCTTTTTCTCTGAGCTTAGAGGACTCAGCTCTGGAGCAGCACCAGGCTGTGTGAGTGTCAGTGCCAGGGAGAGATGTCCCTGTTGCTGTCTGCCTGTGTGCTGGGTGCAGGAGGGAATGCTAAGGCCTTTGGCTGCAGCCCTTTGCAGTCGCACACTGTCAGACATCCCTTTCAAATGAACATGCAGGTCCTGGAATGGACAAGCTTCCATCCCAGGCTGGAGCCAGGCTCTAAGCCAGTTTGAGATCCTGAGTGCCATCAGTACCACACCACCTTTCTCCCTCATCCCTCTCCCCTCCACACACTTTGAAGGTCAGACTAGATGAAGGGAAATTAATTTTTAATCTATGACCTGATTTCCCTTCTCATTTACAGACAATGACATTTTTCCTCATGACAGAAATTCCTGCTATCAGTTCCTGAGGTGTGTGGCTCAGAGTTACTGCAATTCTTTCCTCTCCTATTGCATTCACCTTTAAGGTCACCCTTGCAGTATAATGTTAAATAACATCTTCAATTTTTATGCCATCAGTGCATCATTAATGTCTTTCCACTTCAGTCACTGTCAACATGCAATCTAAAATCAGGATCCCCAAGGAAGAGCTTTAGTGGTCTTCCTCCATCCCAATATTACTCCTCTCCAGGCCAGTACTTCTGGTTTCACCATGAAGTAATTCATGGTAATTCATCATTACCTCCCCTCAGGTTCTTGGCTCTCCTTTTCAGGCACAAAGACAAAGCAGAGGCTTAGGAGGCAGCAGGTGAGTGAAAACAGATCACACAACTGAATTATCTTTGCTTTTAACTGCCCATAGTGGACTGGACAAAGAAAAGGAACAATTCACATGTGGCACATCTGAAATGTTCCAGCTAACTGTCTAACATTTCAAAACTGGAGCCTCATGTTCTCTTTGCTTCAAAGTCCATCCATTAGGCTCAACAAGGAGTAACAGTACTGTCACCCAAATGGGGAAAAATAGTTTTAAAAAGTTTATTAAAAAATGGAAATTTATTTTTCTCCTCTGCTTCTCTGTAGTGCTCAGTTGTTCACTGAGCTGCCTTTCGCTTTACCAGCATGATTTAGCTTTCCTGCTATTTGAAATGCTTGTGGCATTTATGGGGAGGGATCCCTGCCCCAAGTAATGGTGTGCATTTTGGTTAGTGGGTGTGCTCACATGGTCAAAGATAACCTAATGCTGGAATACTTTGCTGAATGGGCCCCTCAGCCTGGAAAAAGCTTTGTGAGATTTTGGTGTAGAAGTGACTAAAAGTTGACATCACTTACAATTAGTGACACTTAAAAAAATTTGCAGATGTATTTGTGCAAGAAAATCTTCTTTCCTCCCTTCTTAATTTAATCTCAAAGGAAATACTTCATTTTAGGAAAGGGCTGGCTGCAATTTTCAATTGAATTTTTTCTTGTGCTTTACTTAAAAAAAGGAGTTAGAAAACTTTACATACCAAAAATTCTCAAGAAGACAGCTGTCAGGAGGTGACATGTCGGATATGAAGTAGCTCTCCAGCTGGTCCCTGTCTGCATGCTGGGAAGGCATGTGGAGACATTTTTTCAATTGCTGTACTAGTTTGACATGTTCACAGTGGAAAATGATGTATCATTCTTGAGCCTTTGCTTGGTGGACACTTCAAAGTGCATTGGATCCTCATAGAGGAGTGCCCTATTGTTAATTGTTCCTTTCACATGTACATTGGGATGAACATGGCGAGAGCAGCGAGGAACAAAAGGGCTCCGGTGGCCTCTTAGAGAAAACCCTGTGCAGCTCAACCTGAGTCTGACCTTGAAAGGGTGGGTTGCTCTGGTTTTTAAATCCTGCTTGCTGGTTCATTCCCCTCTGGCACCCCACTGTTACCAACTGCAGGGGAATGGGATGGCAGAGCAGAGAGCACAGCTAGGCTTGGGGAGCTACTCCGCCCCTGCCATGTGGTGCCCAAGGAGCCACATCCTGCACAAGCATCCTTCTGGGAGAAGATGGGCATGGCTGTAGCACAGGAGCTTAGAAAGGGCTGCAGTGAGTGTGTTGGAGGTGTGCAGGTCTGTTATCCCCCAGTAAGCAGGCAAGTCACATCCACCCTCCTCAATCCAACCAACCCACTAGCCCTCAGGCCCAGAGCACAGCCCAGGGTTCTGAAGCTCCCATGAATGGATGTAGGTCTCATAATACATGGCATGAGTTTCCCAGGCCTTTGAGGACATAGTTAATTAATATCCTGAGAAAATCTTTGTCTCCCAGGCACCTGCCACTTATCTCTCTATCTCTCCTTTTTTTCCGCCTTGGGAAACCAACTACCTCTAGTGGGAGACTGCGCCGTGAAATGTGGTGTCCCAGGCTGGGTTTGAAAGCCCAAGCACAGCAGTCAGTTTATTCCTGCAAAGAGAGACATGACCCCTTGGTGTGCATGTCTTTGAATGAGCTGAACAAAACCTCTCCCTGTAGCCTCAGCTGCACACAAGTGTCTGTGCAGGCCACACAGATACTAGGAGGAGAGAGGGACACCTGCAAGTAGCAAATCAGCCACTGTGCTACAGCCCACCGTGCTGCCAACAGCTCTGCAACACATTGTGTTGCTGACCCAGGGTCTCCCTAGACCAGAAACACCTCAGCCTGGGCACCACCACATATGGCTCAGGCCAGACTGAGAGAAAAGGTGTGAGCAGGGATGAGTGCACCAATACAGGGATCCTGAAGAGTCATCCCTGAGGCCTCTGCCCAGACTTTCATATAATGGCCTAGTCTGGATCTTGGCTTCCTCTCATGAAAATTGGATAAATAGAAATAAAATAAAGTATCATTCAGTAAAATACATGTAAAATGAGTCTGTTTTCATCCCTCAGTGCTCAGGCCTTTGATGCTTCATAATAGTAAAACAGATTTTACTTGCAAAATGTCTTGGACTTCAGTCCCTGCTTTCCTCAGCACACATCTGTGTTTGGTTCAGAGTGGGCAGTATCTCCCTGATGATGGGTGCACAGGTGCTGTGTCCCTATCCAGTCTTCCCATCTCCAGGGTACTGGGGACTGGAGAGCAGGAGCAAAGCTTCTTCAGCTGTGGGAGGCAGTGTGTGCTGGCTGGCATACAGGCTGCTGCCAGCTCTCTGTCATCAGTGCACACCAAGGGCAGCTCTTCTGCTCTCCTTTTCCTCCAGCTCTAGGTTTTACTGTGCTTTTAAGTAATTGTCACCCCTTCGGGACAAGCCTTCGAGAAGGCAGAGGGCTCGCATAACTCTGGATCAGTAAAGGAAGCAGTTCAATTAGCATTTCACACGCCTTTTCTTCCCTCTCTTCTTACCTTCCCTGCAGCGGGCATGCTTTCCCCTTAAAGGATTGTCCTGTTTCTGCTCCTTGCCAGCGTTGGCAGGGTGACAGTAGTCGAGTGTGCAAACTTGTGCTATTGTCCCCGGGCCAGGGGGAGTCATGGAGACCCACTAATATGACACAGGAAAATGTTTGCTGATGGCAATTCTATGGGCTTTGTCTAACTCTTTCTCCATCATGACGACTCGATTTAAGTCTCTAACTGTTTGACTACAGATGCAAGAGTACTATCCAACTCCATCCTTTTGTTCGGGTAGTTTGAATGGGTAATTCAGCTTTTGTGTAACTCAATTGAGGGGGCAAACATAAAGACAAGATTCTTGAGCGCTCAAGCTCCCTTTCCATGGATATCTGCACATCTCTTTAGAGATTTGTTCCTTTCCTACCTTTTTCTGACATCATCCTCCCCTTAAAAAAAAAAAAAGCTCCGATGGGGAACAGTTAAAAGTAGGCTAGTCCAGTCCCCCGTATTATATTGTCCTGTGCCAATGAAGCATGTTTAGTATCAGCCCCCAGACAGCTCTGGAGAATGCAGAGAAAAGGGTGTCTAAACTTTCCTAACTCATCTTCAGCATTTTTGCTTTGGATTGTGTAATTTTTAAATGAAAGGTTTCCATCGGGGTGAAGGGGATAGGGAGAATGGTAGAAATCATGGGGAAATGATTGTATTTATTAGCTGTCTTTCTGCGGCTGTCCCCATGGAGACAATTTGTGATGGCAAAGAATGCAAGGAGGGGAGGCTGATGCCTGATTGGGATGCTTTGTATTTGGCAAAGTGGCTTCTGATTGGCCTGGGAGAGCCCCGAACTCGCTGGAGTCGATATTCATTCAGCTTGCTCAAGTGCTTGCTAAACTCCATCCAAACAGTGGCGGGCCCTGGCCGCCTCGGCCGCGGCTGGCGGTGTGTAACCTGCCTAACGAGATTAGCGGCCAAGGGGCTCTGTCTCCTCTGCAGCGGCGCTGCCGCCGGCTCCGGTGAGAAAAGCCGCCGCACGCCGGGTGAGTGTCCGTGCTTGCTCACGGGGCGGCCACCCCGGCTTCTGTGCACCTCAGCGCTCTCTAACAAGATTAGGCGCTGAGCTGCTGGCGCCTGTGAGCCGGTCCCCGTGCCGGTGTGTGCCGGGGCAGCAGCGCGGGGCGCTGGGCTGCGGGCACGCGTCCGCTCCGACAGCGATTCCCTGCGCGGGAGCGAGCTGACCAACAACTTGTTTGCGTGGCTGGGAAGTTTGACGTGTGCTCCCTCCGTTTGCTTAGTGCTGTTTGAACCAAAGCTTCTTGCTCAAAAGTCTGCCTGTCACGTTTCGCAGGTTTGCCGAGGTTTGTCCGAAGAAGGATTTTCATGGGAAACTCTGCGCGGTGCATTCAGTGAGATGGCATCGGACAGCGAGGTAAAAACTCTACTGAACTTCGTTAACCTGGCTTCGAGCGACATCAAAGCGGCTCTGGATAAATCAGCTCCTTGTCGCCGGTCAGTTGACCACAGAAAATATTTGCAGAAGCAGCTCAAGCGGTTTTCTCAGAAGTACTCACGGATCCCACGGTGTCACCCCGGCAAACCCCCCGAGTGTGGCTGGCGCAGGGGGACAGAGGAGCGGGCCCGCGGCTCCCTGCCCGAGGCACCTGAGCCCAGCCCCCACGGCGGGGCTGCCGCCGACAAGGTGATGCGGACAGCCGAGGCAGAGGAGAGCCCCACCGGGGAACGGCTTTTGCAGGAACAAAAACCCGAGGCCGCCCGACCGGACCAGGTGCCCATGAGGAAGCGACAGCTCCCCGCCTCCTTCTGGGAAGAGCCACGGCCGGCCCAGAGCCTGACGGCCAGAGCCTTTGCTGCCAGCCCTGAGGGGCTGCAGACCCCCAGGGACCCTCCTCCCTATGAGGGGAAGAAAAGCAAAAGGAGCCCAGACGCTGCTGGCCCGGAGAGCCCCCCTGACACCGCGGCACATGCCGGGGAGAAGGAGCCCGCCGTCCTCTCGGGCCGAGTGGGTGCTTGGACCTGCTGCCCCTTCCCCTGCCCCGGGCCAGGCGTGTACCAGCCCCCGGGCGCGCTGCCCCCGTCGCCCTTCCCGGGGCTGGGGCTGTGGAGGAAGAGTGCGGCCACGCTGCCGGCGGAGGTGCCGCACTTCTGCAAGGAGGCCGATGGCCCGGGGCAGAAACTCTACAGGCCCTTGGTTCTGAAACCCATCCCCACCAAGCCCGCCATCCCCCCTCCCATCTTCAATGTTTTTGGCTATCTTTAGCGGGGCGGGTGTCGGAGTCATGCCGAACACGACAGCTCCCGAGGGGGATTTGAAGCGCCCGCTCAGGCTGCGGGCAGGAGCTGCTGGCAGCGCGGAGCGGCAGGGAAGGAGGCGGCGATCGCACCCTGTGCCGCGTGGGCGGGCTGCGGGGAATTAGTAACTGCTGGGAAGGTACTTGGGCTGCACTCTGCTCTGCCTACACGGGGGTAAAGCGGGAATAAACCTTGCGAAGGCGGTGGCATGGAGCATGACCAGGTCTCTTTCATCGATGGGCATTGTGTGATGCCCCGCGGCGAGCGGGGCTGCGGGCCATTCATAGCCGCGCTTGTAACATCTAGGAGACTCCTCCACGTGGGAACGTCTTTCTGGGGCTGCCCTGCGGCAGCAGCAGTGAAATGGAATGAATTAAATGCATTCAAAGAGTTTTTGTATTTTAAAGTAATTCCAGAGAAGTCAAGATATTCAGGTCATTTCGTTTTGCATGCAGGAGACTCGAAGGGTGGTATTTGATATAGAAATCACTTGTGATTGATTCAAGCTCTTGTTGTATTGTAAATACTGAGACAATTAAAAGAAAAAAAATAAGGGAAGAAAGAAGGTAATTTTATCTTGGTGATTCTGCAAATGCAGTCTTAATTTTGCCCCACTGGGTGGACACGGGTTTGATTTGCAACTGGTGGGGAGTTATGAGGTCTGAAATCTCTGCCTATCCAGATTGGTATAAATCAGAAGTAATTCTTCCGGGGCCAGAATATTAGCTAGTGCTAAGCTGGTGCAAATGGAAGGGGGATGAATTTTCACATCAGGAATTGCATCATGCATCAACAGAATAAATGAAGAATCTTATCAGTTTAATACAAAACCAATAGGCGTGATGGAAGAAAAAAGTAAAAAATAGACTGCCTTGATTTCTGGGTGAGAGTATCTTTTATTTTGCCTGATTTAAAGATGTTTTCACAAGATCTGACTGTAAATGTTTTGCCTAGTATTTTTCTAATTTTTTAAAAACAAATTGGCATTGGAAATTTTTTTAGGAAGTGTTTTAAGTTAGGTTTCTCTTAAACCCATGGAGAAAGTGGTATGAAGACACAGATCATGAAATATGAGAGGGTTAATATTGCAGGTGTATGTGTCTATTTGGCTATACTGGAGAAAATCACTGAAATAAAGAAAAGTATATTTTGGGACAAAAAAGGGCCAAAGAATGGACACCCATGATCTCCCAGGGCCTGAACCTGCTGTTGCTGAAGCTAATGGGAACTTCTCCCAGGGCTCAATAAAAAGTGGCCTTGATTGATTGGTCTGTGACTAGCATAGCTCTCTCTGACTCCTGATATCTCTACAAGGGAAAAAACAGAAAACGCTTCATTTGAGTGCATTGCAGTCATTAAAAAAAATACCATAAGAAACATTGTAGAGTATAATTTTCTATCTTCTGATTGCCTTGGTATTATGCAACCAGGTTGCAACTTTTATTAGGATATGAACTACCACTGGGATTAGCTCAGTTGGTCAGAGCCTGGTGCTAATAATTCCAAGGTTGTGGATTTGATCCCTCTATGAGCCATTCACTTAAGAGTTGGACTTGATGATCCTTGTGGGTCCCTTCCAACTGAAAATATTCTATGATTCTACTCCCAGGCTAAAAGTGGTTTACTCTTTCCTCAAACCTCACATATAGCACCAGTGTTCACTTTTATGGAAACAGTGTGTGTAATGTGTTTGTAGTGCAGGCGAACAGTAGAAATAGAGATGGCTTCCATTGCTTTCTCCCTGCGGTGGCACTTGATACATGTACCAAACCTGTATGGACTGTAGGAGAGAGAGCAGGAAATGTCTTTGGTAGCACAAACCTGCAACTAAATGCAAGGTGTGGGGTGCTGAAAAGCCAGTCTAGAGGTTAAAGACTTCAGGTTAGCTCTTGATCCAGAAGTAAAGATGGGAACATACTTAGATGCCTTTCCCTTTTTTGGGAAAAATCCATGAGGAAACTCCATCCCTCTCCAAAAGGAGTGTAACAAAACCCAGAGCCATTGAAGTTAAAGGTAGGAGAACAACAGCTTTTAATTTACAGTTCCGTGGCTAAGGAATTTTGTTACATGGAAATGGGGGGATTTTCTCAAATCAACAGCTCTGTGTCGCTGCTGTAATCCAGATGCAGCCGGATGCTGAACTCTGTTTCAATACCATCAATAACAGAGCAGCCTCCTTGGTATTGGTCTGGATTTCCATCTGGGTGGCCACACTAGGTCACAGAATGAACTACTGGTATTGCAGTAGTTGCTGTACTTAAGTGTTCCTCCTTGAGTTCATTAGAGAAATTTCTAAGTGCTGTGGATCACACCAGAATAAGGTGTAAAAATTAATTAATTTACTTCTGTAAAAATTAAATCCACTTGGCAAAGTCGATAGCCTCTATATAAATTTTATTTTTTAAGAAATCCAGAGGAAGAAAAGAGTTAAAACCAAGTTTCTATCTTGTGAATATTAAATTCTTAGCTTTCTTTTTATTCTTCTTTTAAATTCCTTTTTATTTGAATGTATATTGCTGCACATTTTCCATGTAGTAGAATAATGTGTTTTAAAGTTATGATGAAGGATTGAAACACACCATTCTAAATGACCTCTGACTCAAATATTTATGCTCCTACACTCAGATTTAAACTAATGTTAATTTTTCAAAATCCTTTGTGACATGGAAGGTCCCCCCAACCCAAGGCAGGCAGTGGCCCTTGCTGGGGCTTTGAACTGGAGCAGCAGTGAAGTAAAACACAAATGAACAGAAGACAATTGTTAAGTATATTCAAAATCCCTGAATGGGGATGTGTGAGACTTTCCAAAAGGTTTGCAAATAATGGCAACTCTGTCTCCTCTCTAGCAATACTTACTGTTCTCTCATCCCTGAGATTAACAATGGCATTAATAATTATTCAAGCTTGGCTTGATTCAGAATTTTTCTGGATATTTTTGTGTTTGGCTGGCCGATGGTTGATGTTGCTATTCAGGACAGCTGATAGTCCTTAAGAATCTACTTCTTTATTCATACGTTGTTTGAAAGATGGAAACATAACATTTGAGAGCTGCTATTTACTAGAACAGTGCAGATTTCAACTTTTAAAAACACAGTAGCTTTTATAAATAATGGGAAGGGAGAGGTAAATGAAAAAACTTTTATACAAAATGAAATAAAAAAATCAAAAAAGTGCACAAGAACATCAAGTGAATTGCACATGTTGCAATAAAAAAAAGTACAGTAACCTGGTCATGAACTATTCCTAGAACATTTCACATAAAGCCATCATATCTGAAGGAGTCTAACTATCACACTCAGTGAAACAAGCCACTTTACCTTGCACTAGAATTACTGATCGGCTTACAAAGCCTGGCTTGCCTGGGTTTTGGAGTATTTTTCTTTTCACAGTAACTTGTAAATAGATGCATTAAAGGCACATTGAATTTGTGCAGATTCAGTATTGTGCACAAAATAGTATGTCAGTGACTGGAGTGGAGAGGTAGTGGGCTCCATTTCAGTGCAAATAAATGTAAACTGAGTGTGTGAAGGTTTGCTTTAAAGATCAAGCAGAAAGGACTTAATAACATTGTAATTGCCAGACTCCCCCTCTAACAGATAGACTCTTCTCACCTCAGTTTCTGTGCGCAGCATGCACTTATCCTTCCCACAGCTGTGTTATGTTCCCATCAGACCAGTGCTCTCTGGCTCAATGACTCCTGCTCAGGACAGATCATTGACAGCAACCAGGACATGGGTCTCCCAAAAGAAATGAAGGTCTCTTGGTTGAAAGAAGAAATGGGATTTCCATATTTATCCCATTCAAACCCAGTTTCAGCTTCTCCAAGAACATTAAAATAAATTGCTATTTGCTAGACTTTTGTGGACACAAAAATGTAGGCTCAGGGGAAATTCCCAGGTTGGGACACCTGTGAAATCCCACTTCTGGAGTTATACGTGTACTTGGTGATTGTGAACCCTTCTACCTGCCAGGGTCTCCAGGGCTGTCACTGCACACCAAACTCTGAAGTGGTCTCCACCAAGCTCTGTCTGTATCCATCACCCTCTACAACTCTGCTTTGTTACATTTAACCTGATTTCAGGGACTACTGATTTATATCGATATAAGACCCAGAACTTTGTTGCACAGCTCCAGAAAGTGAGAGATGCATGAACTCCACAGTGATTTCCTATCTTTCCAGGAACTGCTCACCAGTACAGGGCCTTCCCTGGCAGAACTGTTACAGTAATTTCTTGTTCCTTTTCTCTCCACCCAAAGATTTTCTAACCTAAACCAATTCCCTGTTCACCCTGCAGGAGACAAGGGAATAGATCTTAAACTGGCAATAAAGGAAGTTACTGGATGAAATTTCACCAGTGGAGGAATCTCACCAGACTTTCCAAAGCTTTAAAAGAGCAGTGTTCAGTGTGAATTGAAACTCTGTTGGTTTTTCAAGTTTTGAATTTTTAAAGGGGACAGCAGTGGACAGAGTAAGCAATCCTGTAACCGATGCTTTTTCTGCTCACATCCTATCCCACAAGTGATGAAGACATTTCACACAAAGTCATCACAGTCTGTGTGCCCAGACAGATTGTATTACTTGTATTTGTGCAACACACTTTAGTCCTGTGTTAAGGTATAAAACTCCACACAATAAAACTCAGTGCAATGTATTTTCCCTACTTAGATTTCTATCATATTCCATGGATGGTGTCCAGACCAACAAACAAAACCAGATCTGTAAGGTGTCTGGTGGGGACTCCAAGCAGGCCATGGTGCACAGCTCCTCTGTCACCTAAGGTAAGGAGTGTGCTTGTAGCATAAGATCTGCAAAGATGTAGTTCCAAACTTAGTTTCTTTCATTCTTTCCTAGGTGCCTAGTGAGGAATAAAGCACTCATCAAAGCAGTTCACCAAGTCACACCTGTCAAGTGATCTGTAGTCTCTGCCAATAACTGTTCATGGGCTCCTTGGCCTCCCCAGCTGTGAGGGAATGTGACTTGTTAAAAACTTCAATAAAAGAATTTCACGGACAATTATAGTGGTTCAGTAGATAGATGGTGACTTGTTAAGCTGCCATAAATCAGTTGTGGATCTGAGCTGTAAATAGGTGACCTAATTTTCAAAGAAACTGAGATAATGACTTTCATCAGTGTCAAAGGAAACTAAAAGATACTTCAGACTTCCAAACTTTCAAACTTCAGAAAATTCAGGGCTAAATTCTGAGATTTTTTTTATTCTGCCTCAGTAATATCTGATACTGTATATTATTCCCCTGGTTTAAGTGGAACAACACCTGGTGCAATCAACTTGCCATTGTGTAGGCAACTGAATAGGAATTTGGAAGCCTAATTCCAAATTAAGGGTATTAATTTCCATAAATTTTGCAGTTTGAATTCCATAATTTTGAAATAATTTCTCTTACTTTCAGTCATGGTATTGTTACAGCCACAGAGGTCCAAGGAGATTGGAGAGGCTAGCTTTTGTAGAGACAAGATCTTCTGGGGAAGGAAGAGAATAAGTTGGTTCAGCAGGGTTGCCGCTCTCCTTCATATCACTCTCTGTTCCTGCTCCTCTAGGGCTTTGTTCTGTTCTGACACCAGCTTCATGAAAGCATAAACCTACTGTTTACAGTGCAGCTACTTCTAATTTACACCAAAAAACCCCCAAAGAGTTAAGGGTTGCTTTCAAATCTCTAGTCTAGGAAACTCTTTCAAGCAAAATTTCACTTACTTCCTATTGCAAATATAATACAGAATGAACTGTATTCACTATGTGCAAATATAATTCTTCCATCCTCCTTAAATAAACCTTTCCTTGACTTTTAAAGGATTCACCATTTCTGGATTTTAGTCTATTAAAGAGTTCTGAGATTTGAAGGTTCATAAATCAAGTACTTAATAAGAAAGGTACAAAAAAAAAAAGACATAAAGGTGTTAGCGAGGTGGTGTCAAAATATCAGAGAATTAGCAACCAACACACTTAGCAGAAATCCAAACAATAGAATAGAAACTACAATAAAAATCTCAGTCAGTGAAGGTAATGTGATTGTTTTCCCAAACACGTGGATTCTTGACAAGTTCTGAATTGTGACCACGGCAAGGATGCTAAGCTCCACCACAGCTTCAGGACACTTGAGTTCCTCATGGATACTTGCTTCAGCACTACTCATTTGTCAGTATTGGCTTTCATTTCTTCTTCTTTCCAGACTAAGGTCAGAGGTGAATTGTATGCGTTTTCTCTTGAAAAACCTAACAGCACTCTCCTATGTTAGCTGTCTCCTCCATTTTCTTCTTACTCATGCTTCAAAAGCAAATTTCTCTTGGATTAGTCATGGGAGGGTGCTTGACCAAGCCAGCAGCAGTTCCTCCCCGGTGTGCACCTGTGCCACGGTGGTGACGTTGGTGCCCCGCTGGGAAGCTGCTGCATACCCGGTGTGCTTGGGGTCACTGTGAGTAATCGTGCTGTAGATAGCGGATCAGTCTGTCTGGGAGGGGCAGCGTGTCCAGGAGTTTGATGCGGTTCCTTCCAACCAAGCTCCGTACCTTGATGCGGCAAAGGTGGGACAGAGGTCGCGGAGGTTCTGAAAGACAGGTGGGTCAGAAACGTGAGCAGAACAGGTTTTAACTTGAGGGACTTGAGCTCAGCTTGGGCAGGACTGTGTCAGGAGGAAAATGGGAGAAGGAAGAATGAAAAAAAGGGTTTTTTTTCTGTAATGAAGGGATAATATGTCTGGGATTGGTGGCAGAGCATGTATTCTGAGGCATGACATGGGGAAAGATGTGGGCCTAGAGGATGGGGTGCTGTACCTATCTCAGCCATAGCAATGGGCTTTCTAGGAGGATTTAAACAAGCCACTTGAAAGTGTTCAGCCTTCCCACTGAAAATAAATGCAATAGGTACCAAATTTATCTTGGTGCCAGAAAACTTTTTCTGATAATATCTGTGAAAGACTTTTTCCTGAGGGAAGGGATATTAGGAGAGTGGAATATTAATAAAGGCTTTAAAGGCCATTGTTGCCTGCTAGGTTGCTGTGGAGATGGCTGTGCTGTCCACCTGTCCTGATCTGACTGAACCCCAGCTATATCCAAAAGGCCTTTTCTGCACTGCTGTTCTCATTCCCAGTGGGTCAGATCGATGGCTGGTGTGCATTTCACACCACAGGGCCAGTGACACCCCAGAAATTTTTGACACTCATACCTGGTTAGTCACAGCAGGGAATCCTTTCAAGGATTTCAAGTTTATGGGATGAATACTAAGAGGGGATGGTGACAGAGGTTTTGAATCCAAAAGTGGGACTATTTGTGCTGGATTCTCTTCTGGGAGACCATACCTGCTTTTTCTTTAATGACAGCCCAGTCCTCATAGCTGTCAATGTGCTCCTTGAGCCGGGAACAGAGCTGCACATTACCCACATAATCCAGAAGAACATCGATGATCGGCCCAGCCCAGCGACTTATCTCTGGAGTAGACACCATTTCACAAAACTGCAAGGAAAAACAGATGGACCACCATCAGTGGAACATAAATGCACTTATGGAAACAGCACCTGCAATATCCCTGATAGCTTTGATGGTACCCCCCCTTCTACCAGCTGTGAGGGCAATCACCAGTTTCCCTTCACAGACTTCAACTAAAGTCTGTTGTTTTCCAGCTGAGGGTAGAACCCCCTCTTTGCATTCACAGGATGACATGAATCCCTGGCAAAGTCGTAGCTCTGGAGCATGAAATAATGCTGAATTGTTAGCAAGTCCTAAGATCCTACTTCCACAGAAATGCAAGGGCAGAGGAACTTTGCCCCAAGCTAGTCAGGGGCTGCTGGAAGGTCCATGCAGTCTAGGGCCCTGTGACATAGCCTGCTGGGTTCTTTCCCCTCTTGGCAGGGCTCAGGGGGCAAAATGGAATCTTAAGGAAAGAGGGCGATTCGGAAGAATGCAGCACCTCCTGCTTCTTGTGAACCTGCTAGTATCTGCAGCTTTGGGGGGGCAAACATCTTACTAGAAACAGGTCTGGAGAAATTTCTGCACATATGAATCCATGGCCATTTTACTCATGTGAGAACTATCCTGTGCCTAATAGAGGGGTGTTTTCCCTACTAAGTCCTGGATCATGCAAATTTTCTATTGTCTCCAGTATAAGCCGCAGAGTACCAAAATTCACTGTAGGAAGGGCTTCTTATGGAGATTATGAAGAACAGACTTAAGAACCTGACTTTAAGCAGTCTTATTTAAAAAAAAAAATCTGCCTACTTTAATCTAAATATGTATTTTATACCAGTCAGTTTCATCTGTCTCTCTTAGGGTTTTGCGTATGCTGAAGATATCTGTGGACATAATCTGCATGCAAGCAGTCAGGAAGTTTAACATGAATTCAATCATGCTGTGTTGATAAGAACTCAGGCACTTGGCTGAACCTTATTGAATGATGATGGCTGAAGCACCGTCCATCAACTTAGTCACTCATACTGTCTGCAAACACCTTCTAAGCCCACACCAAACAGGAAAGAAAATGCAACAGCTTAAAGCTCTCTCATTTTAAATTCCTTTAACTAGATCAAATTTGATTATTCATGCAGGAGTCCTAACTCAAAATCATTAAACTCTTGTGTGGATACTCTTACTCAAAAGTAAAATTTTATTAGTTCACCTAGTAAAATAGAGCTGTGGAAAATAAGGCTATTTTGTTCAAGGTGAGAGCATTCACAGAAGTGTTTATTATTCTGACTAATTTTTCACCAAACATCGCCATGTAATGTTTCCCAGGACAGCTAGAGACAGTAATGTCCGAAGGATAGCAGTGGACAGCCCACAGTTTCCTACCTGGGCTGCTTATAGGGAGTGCAGTTTTGCATGTCTGGCTGTCACTGCAGTGTCTGTGTCACTGCCATGCAGTTACCCGTGTGAGACACAGACCAGGCACCTGACCAACACCCCCTTGCAGTGACTGCTTTAGGGGAGCTGAGATCAAGACACATGTAGGGCCATAAAACACTGGATCTTGCTCTCTTCTTGTCTCCACCAGAGACCCTGCCTGCCTTTTTCTCTCTTCCCTGTTCACAAGCTAGGCTTACAAAAACATCTTATGAAATAAACACATTTCAAAACAAATTGCAGAAAAATAAGCGTAGCAAAAGAAAGAAAAAACAGTGCAAAACTATAACACCAAGCAGTGGGATTGAGTCGGGGACAGGGCCGAATGCCCTCTCGTGGCAGAAAGCTCCTGCTGCCCGTGCCACCCCCCGGGATCAACAGCAGCTCGCAAACCTGCAGGCACTCTGCAACCTTTCCTCTGCCTTCCCTTTCTCCAGCACACATTAACTTAGTAGCAACAGTTATGATTTATATTTGTGCATTTTCCAAATCTAGTTACCGTACTTCTTGGCCTTTATAAAGACTAATAATTAAGATTTACTACCCTTATGTAATCTCACACAAGAAAATAGAAGAACATCCTTTGTGTAGAGGAGGGTGTAGTTTCATAAGATCCTCCATATTTTAGAATATAAATCATATCATAACTACCTATCATGAAGCTACCACAGAAGCCTCACTTTCATTAGCCTTTTTTTTTCCTGTATGCATCTCTGCTCACTGCTTTCTCTGTGGACACATAAATTTTTATACAATTTTTTCTACCTCTGCATCATATGATGTGACCTTTGAGGCAATGACTCTTTGTGAGTGGCTCATATTGAGTCTTTTTTTTGTAAATAAAGTAGGGATCATGGCGTTTTCTCTCACAAAAAAGTTGGAAGAAAAAATTTACTAATGTTGTTAAAACCCATTGGTAGGAAATATTCTTAGAAGTCCTGCAGGTAGACTAGGCAGTGCTTACCTGTACTACAGCTGGCTCCCTGGTCACCTGAGGATCATTAAGTCTCTCCCTCCTGTAATTCAGTGCAGGGTGTGGGCCATTTCCGTACTGACACTCAAAACAGGAACCTGCGTCACAGCCCAGATCCAGGAGGTACTTCAGCACGGAAAGGTACTTCATTGAAAACATGATGGTGGCTGGAAATGTGGTGGGATGACTTGATATATAGGCATCAATGTTTGCCCCATGGTCGAGAAGCAGTTTCATGGTCTTCAGGCAGCCGTGGCGGATGGAGATGAGTAATGGGTTAATGAGGTCAACATTGGGGTTGGCTCCAGCTTGCAGCAGCAGCTCTGTGGCGTAGATATTGTTGTTAAAAACAGCAAAATAGAGTGGGGTGGTGCGTCTGTCCTCGTAAAGGCAGGACCGCTCGTCAGAGAGGGCAGTGTTGACCTCGTAGCCGGCATCTATCAGCTCTTCCAGGATGTCGTCATGGTTGCGCTCAGCCGCCAGGTGCAGGGGGCTGATGCCACTGCGCTTGACACGGGTGCGGCTGGTCACAGGGATCAGCATGGACACAATCCTGCCAGGAGGAGACTCGGTGAGCAGCAGTGAGCTCTAGGGGATCTACAGCCCTGCAGCAAGCTTTATGATTGTACCCATCAGGCAGAGCCTGCTAACTCAGGCGGAGGAACAACTCGTAGAAACCAGACTGCAAACCTCAAACCTGTCAGCAACTCCCTGTGCACCAACCTTGCCAAAAATATGAGTTGTTTGACCTTCCCCTTTCACGGAGGAACACATTTTTTTGAAATTATCACCCAGTTTCTGTGATGTAATGTCAGCTACAGGGACAGTTACAATGGAAGAGATGAAATGCTGGCACTCACCCATGCTGTTGTAACTTCTCTTAGGTTCCATGGCCCAAATGGCAGATGACCAGCCAGGAACTACTACCAGATATTCTGCACCTTCATCATCATGCTGTGGGTAGGACTGGAGGAAAAGGTGCACAGCCTCCAGCCTGAGGTGCCAGCAGAGGGAATGTATCTCCCCTTCTCAGGTTTTCCCTTACTGCTCAGCAGAAAAGGGTACCAACACAAAGTGCTGGCAGGTCTTGTGGGTCACAGCCACAGTAACAGGCCTGACACCAGACAGGAGGTGAAACCCCATGTCTAGAGGACTGAGCTAGGATAAACTACAGATTTGGTTCCCAGGCCTTCCCTATTAGATTTTACAATTCAGTTATTACCCTGCACTGATCCTTATTCTGTAGGCCTTCATGGTGCAGCTTTTGGCTGTGGCAAGTTCATGGGGCTATCAATGTCCATCCCAGATTACAGGGAGCCAAAAAGATAATTAGTAAAATGGAGAAAAAGAAGTAAAAATATTTTCCAGGCTGGTTTCCATGTTTCAGCTAAGGGACACAAAAAAGTGTGCAGCCAAGTGCTAAACCCCAGTCATGAGGAAATGGAAAGCTTGATGTGGCCTTAAACACAACATAAATCAAGCTGCTCTAATGCTTAATATAAATTTCAAATATATGATGCACAGGAGCCCTGCAGTCACAAACCCATGATCATTTTTATGTCTGCACAGGTGTCAACGGAGCTGAATGACCAACCCTATGGGTTAAACCTTATAAAGTTGGGTGATATAGCCGAGGCCCTAGGTTGATTCTGTAGATATAGACAAGCCACCTCAAGGAAACTTAGTTTTAGAAACACCCTAGGGATCATCCAACCTGAGTCTGCCTGCTGTGTTAGGAGTTGCCCACACTCGCTTTGTAATATCTGTGTAGAGGGGGTATCTTAAATAGGAACTTGTGTGAGCTGGGAAGCCAAGCACACCTTCTCCACCTCCTTCCCTCCCATGCAGGCTACTCCACCTAGCAATCAACACCTCTGGTGACACACAAACAGGCAAAGCTCACTTTCCTACCATGTAGTGTGTCTCCTTTAAAATGCTGCATATCTTCAGCTTGACTGCAATAGCTGGTCCCAACACTGGGCCCTCAAACATATATTTACATAATGAGCTAAGCCAGTAAAACCTTTGTGATGATCTTGTGATCCTGTGAAACACTGAGCCTCCAACACTCCTAGGAGCTGAAATAAGGGTTGAAGATGTAATTTTACAGACTTATGTTCCTATTTACATGATGGACTGTTGATGTCTCCAAGTTACTTCTACATCTCATTTTTAAACAAAAAGGCTTTTAAAATTATGTAAATATCTTGGGAAATTAAGCACTTATTTCTTTTCTCCAAGCAGTCACACTAATTTTCCAGCACTGTGACACTTGCCAGGGAGCAGGAGGTTTGGGTGCTGGTGAGCTGGCAACTTCCCACCCTCAGCAAATGTTCTGTAAGAGCCTAATAACAAAAAGGGCACAGAGCACTGTGAGGACACTACGCCAAGTACCAGCATTACTCATCCCATGATCAAATGTTTTGAAGATTTAAGGGTCTGTTTTGTTCTTTCCCTCCAGCATATGTGCTTCAGCCAGCTCTCCACATCTGAGTTAAAGAGGCACTGGATCATTTCTGCCTGCAAGGGGAACCTGAACCTCGCTGCACGGGTGCCACGCTGAGGCTCTGCATCCAAATGCTGCAGTGTCCTAAAGCTCAGCACAGTCCCTGTACCCCACATTTATTTTGGTGTGACAGGCAGGAGGCATCAAATTGCTACCAGTTTAATTGTGTAGCTTGAGCCTGTGTCTCTTTCTCACCCTCCAGAGTGGGTCAGTTCAGTACTATGGTGCCTCTGGAGCATTTCCTGTTTCTCTAGAGGGAGAATGCAACCCAAGTGAAGGCAGCCAAGGCCAGACAAGTCAGACCACGTCCCATGTCTGTCACAGGGATGAGCTTCATGTACAGTTTTTAAATACTGCCAAGATTTCCCTAATCCCTGACACCTGCTTCTGTGTTTTTTATTTATTAGAGATTATATGGAGGAGGAGGCAGAGCATCCTTAGTGTGAGCATGCCAAGAGTTTACTGACTCGTATTTGCTTAATAAATCTGCCTGTGCTTCATGAAGTCTTCTCTTTTCAACTCAGTTCTAAGGGGGAAAGAGTTAAATGACTGCTTGCAGCTTATGAGATGACCCTTATGAATTTCAGGTCAGTATTGACAAGGTGTCATTTAAAATAAACAAACACCAAGCAACAAGAGTTGACAGTTGAGCCCTGGGACCACATTCTTGGCTTTTTGATGGTAGGGAGCCTTCGTGCTCTGGCAAAAAGTTGAAGTGTGGAATTCCTGCAGAATTACGTACTAAATCTGCAGGAATACAGAGGTCACCATGAAGGGTGTTATTTTACTGAATACCAGAGGAATTAAGAATGATCAGCCAAACAGGCTAAAGTTTTGTCATTTAGATAAATATTTATAAAAGAATATATTTTTCTTTTGTCTTTTTTTTTCTACTTAGTTTGCAACAGTCATGCACAAAATTTGTGCTCAGTCTTTTACAAGTGAAGGAATGCAGGGTTTGAACTAAATTCTAGGCTCATTTATGCTGCTGTTTGTTGGGAATAACAGATATGAGCCCTGAATCAGGCCCTTCCTTTCATAACCCAGGGGTGAACTCAGGTTGTGGAGTTTCCATGTAAATTTTTTTTCAGGTCAGAGTGTGAGACCACTGAGGGGAGGGAAAGAGAGCTGGCCCATCCTCTATATATTTCAGATCAACTTACTGTACTTTCAGATAAACTTTTTAGAAAGTGAACAACTGAAGCTGAGTTCTGTCTCTCACACATGAAAATGATTTTATAACTCAAACCTTGGAGAAAATGTTGAATCATGCATGTGTTAGTCAGTGCAGTGTATTCATGTATGCAGTGTAAGTGTATAAACCTGTTACATAAGTTGACACTGAGCTGCCCTCTAGAATACAGAGCTTGCACAAGGAACCAGGCCTTCTCCAACTAATATTAACATCCTCAGGTCTATCAAAGTGGTTTGAGAAGCTTAATTGGCATTGCAAAACACATCTAAATTCCAGAATGAAAAACATTTTGGGAAGGTGTAGTGATGTTAAAAGCTTTTATTCCTCAGATACTGTGAAATATGTAGGAATCCACTGGAGCTGTCCTGTCCAGAAACAGGCACTGCAGTTGGACAGACACTCTCATTTGCCTCTTGTAGAAATATTTTGGTAGAAACGGTGATAATTAGAAGAGTTCTCTACAGTTATCAAAGGGATCTGTTACAGCAATAAAAAATTAGCTGTGGGTCACTTACTCTTCCAGCAGTGAGGGATTAAAATAGGAACTAAAACCTGCTCTAGGATCAGAAGTAAATGCTATGGAGTTCAGGCTCAGAAGTGTGCTGCAATGTCCCAGGTTACTACTTACATGACAGTGCAACATTCCATCCCCAGACAGCATCTTCTAAATTGATATTCTTTATCATAGAATGTAGTTTGTCACTTTCCTAGAAAAATCTCTGTTTCAGAGGACTGGTAATTCTACCTGATTTTTGCTTATTTTTTCCACTAATTACTTGTCTTCCTGTTTAAAAAATATGCTCAGCTCTGTCCCAAACACATTTAATTTCAGGAAGAAAGCAGTGGGTCTTCTTATGAATTTGTCTGTTGCAAATAAGAGTTATTTGATTGCTCACTAATAAAATATATTTTTCCAGACCATAAGAAATGATTGTCCTTATTTTCTGAAGCCTTTACAATTTCCTGAAAGGTTTCTGAAAGAAAGGATATCAGAACTGGATACCATATTCTAGTGACAATCTCACTAATGCCCTAGAGATCCACTTAACCACTTCCTGCTGTCAGCAACTGAATTATTGCTATTAAAACCTGAACACACCAGAGAAGAATCCAGCATCTTCTGCTTGTGCAGAAGAATCACAATGTAGGAAAATTATTGCAAACCATGCTGCAAATGCTATTAAGGACTAATGCTCCCCACCAATACTTTTTCTATTATATTTTAAGAATATTTTGAGGACTTCAGTTTAATCCACTTCCAAGATACATGATGTTATTTAGCTGTAATAGATGATGTCTTGGTAGAAAAGGAATCTTTCACCCCGCATTCCTGCTCACCCCATCCCATCCCAACCTCCATGCACACTCTCCAGCCTGAGCTCTGCAAGCAGAAAGCCCACTTTTCAGCTGCTGTCTACCTTGCTCACGTTGCTCAGAATTGGTTCTGGGACATTACATTCTCCTTTTTGTAAGGACTTTGGATTCTTGTCTAAAAGATGAAACCATGAAACTAACACTTACTCGCAAATGCCTTTTTTGGCTGCTATGTGAAGAGGTAACAGGCCATCCTTATTGGCTTTGTTAGCATCTGCTCCTTGGGACAAAAGAAACTCCACAATGGGCACATGTCCATTTTTACAGGCTTCATAAAGAGCAGAGGCGTTATCACTGGCTTGTGTATTTATATCAGCACCTAGGAAGGAAGAAAACCTTTTAGCACCAAAAGGTTAAAATGAGATGGGAAGAGCATACTTTGAGTGAACACATATTTCCATGACCTTGGAGCTATGAAATGTGCTGGATGGGGATGTGAACATGGTCATATCACAGGTGGCACAGTCATATCAGTGATACACCTTTACATGGATTTACATTGGTTTGTAATATGAGGGGAATTTTACGAGGGACAGTTTATCATGGGTGGCATTATTAGGTCCCAGTCATGAATCCAGGCTCTATTCAGCTCAAAAGTTAAAAAAAAAAATAAATTAAATGGGCTCTTGAAAAGGGTATCCTTCAAACACAGTAATTCCATTAATATTTATGTGCTTACTCTGTGTATATATACTATTCCTGAGCAGGAGTTTGGACTAGATTATCTCAATAGGCGCTCTCCAAAATTCTATGGATCTCTATTTATGCTGTATATTTATTTATATTTATCATTTATACTCTATATTGTCACACTGTAAGTATTACACAGATTTATAGTACTTATACTTCTTTTTAATTTTAGTATGTATCCAAGCTAAAATAACACTCTACAAAATCACATCTGCATGGTGCTGATCAACAATTCTAAGGTTTTATTTGGCAGCGTCTTAATCAATGAATATTGCATTTCAAAACAGCACCTGAGGCCATATCTCTTCACCTCCTGAGGGCTGGAGTTAGCCTTCAAATGACAAGTTTTCTACCAAAAAAAGAAATATTACCAATGAACTACTAGACTATTTGGTAATTTCTTTCTTGAGCTCTAATGTGTACTTTGCTTAATAAATAACATGAAAGTATAAACCAAGACAATACTTTTTTGCCATAAACAATATGGAATCTAGCTTTCTCTACTCTAGATATTAAAGGCCCTTAAGCCTGGATTTTGGCTGTCATATGCTGTACCATGGTGTTCTCAGGAAGGCTGCTGTATGTGTATCCTAAATGGGAATGACAGTTCACTGGAGTTTTGCTTCTAAACTCCAATAAAGAACCTGATCAGTCTTCTGTTTGATCGTGAAAACTCCCTGCCAGTGAGAACATTTCCCTGGGCTCTCACCCTAAGCCAAAACATCTGTGTTGTGTTTGGCCCTTTGAAGATGTTGTAGCTGGAAACATCAGCAGAATTACAGTGACAAAACATAACACAGGGCTAGGTTCCTAATGAGAAAGAAACCCTTTTTATGATGAAAATTGCTCATCATAAACAATGAATGATATCATTCCTGGGATGCTCAGAAGAGCTTTTCAGGGCTTGAAACAATTGGACAGTTTTATTGGATTTTTCTTGTGTATTTTCCTCAAAATTGAACTTTAAGGAAATCTTAATATTTATCTAATTTGAAACACAAATCACATTCTGGCTTAGTTTCTTAACTCACGGGCATCATGATGGACTAACTGGTCATACAAAACTCTCTGACAAGACTAGCTGGGCAGCAGAACACATTTTTGGTTTCCCAACTCTCATCTCTTTCTTAATCATACTAATTTTTTCAAAATGTTTTCTTATCTACATTACTGGTAAACTCTTGTTTTGCAAGTGCAAGACCCAAATCTTACCTACACTGAAGATATTAGTCCACTGTGAAAATAAAATATGCTTCAGAATGGTAGTGAAGTGTATTGTGCTTATTGTAAAGCTGTTGTACATGACTGGAGCAGTAAAAGATAGGTTTAGTGTAAATTAGATTAAAATTCACTCTGTTTATGTGTTTGAACATTTACACATAGGGAGAGTGAGTCTGCTTCTATTTGATAGAAACCCATAAACTCTACAGCAGTACTTTATCTATTTTCAGAGGATACATTATGAGGACAGCTAACCTTGCCCATCACTGCACATCTTTGTAGCAGATGGGGTTGGCTGAAGTTCAGCTCCTGCCATCTATTACCACCTGCAACTGCCCTTTATGACTGACTGGATTTTGGGCTGCATGTGTGCAGCAGTGTGGGTTTAGAAAATGTTAGACTGTTAGGAAATGCAGTCAGACAGCACCACATGACTTCTCAAAGTAGGAGACCATGAATGAATGCTGAAGAAGCACATGTGTCTAAACCATGCTCTGTGAAAGACCCTACCCAGTTCCACCATCAGGAGCAACAGGGTCTTAGTGCCTTTGCAGGCTAGGCTTGGCATCCAGAGACAGAAAAACTGACCCAGGGAGAATTACTGAAACTCTGAATTATTAAGAATTAAATTAATAGATACATGTAAGCTGTACTCACCACATCTTGCAAGGTATCTCAAAGCTTCCAACTGCCCACTCTCAGCTGCCACAAATAAAGAAGTGATCCCGTAGGCATTCGCTGACTCAATCTTGGCACCCCCTTTCACAAGGATGTCCATGATCTCCAGGTCATTTCGGGAGACAGCCTCATGGAGAGCAGTCCATCCTCGATTGCAGCGATGGTTGGTGTCTGCATTGTACTGCACCAGGAGCCTTGCAGCCTCTGCATTCTTGCGCTCACAAGCTGTTTTAGAAAAAAGGGAAGACACTAGGACAGGCTTTTGAAAATATTCTGGGTGTTGTATGTCTGTTTCATGCAGCCCAAGGCAATACCATACAAGTAGGCCATAGTAAGACCAAAGATCCATTTAGGTCTGTGGGAGAGCAAAGGCTGCTGCCAAGTGACATTGTCTGAGGCTCAGAAAGGATGTGACAGTGAAGCCAGTCTCCAACTGGACCCGGCTAAGTGTCCTGTGCAGGGCTTGTGTCAAGTCTGGTACTGGGGGAGTCCAGCCCAGCACCTTTGTACCAACAGGAAACCACAGGGACACAGTGAGGTTATAAGGAGCAGGAAGTAATTTATGAAGAACAAATGTGTTGCAGAAATGATGTGACCTGAACACTTTATTTCCAAATTCTGTGCAAACTGACTCTTTATCTTACTGCTGTGGACTGCAGATAAAGCTTCATGTAGACAAGAAAATATAAAAAGCTCAAACCAGCAGCTGTGTGAGTCAGTAGCACTTTCTCAATTTATAGTTCAATTTATAGTTCAATTTATAGTTCATGACCATCCTGAGCTAAATATAGTTTCTGAATAATTAATAGCATTTTGTTGATTTTTATTCTACCAATTTGCCCATAGCTTTTTGAATCCCAAATCTTGGGGCCTCCCTTGCACCTTAATGGCAGGACTCCAACATAAAGGTACATAGGATGGGTAGCTATTTTGAAAAGACACAATTAGCATCTGTTGTAAAATGTAGAGAAGAGAAGCACATTCCATAGCAATTAGTTTTTTCCTTGAAATAATATTGTCTTTTTCTCACAGAGGTCCCACCTTTTAGTTCTGATTCTTCTCTTGCAATAGCTCCATGGTGTTCTCCCCCATTAACAGTTGTCACTCATATACTGAAAGCAACTATGTAATTAGACATTTCTGTAATTATCTATTGATAGCTCTGCAGAGTTTAATTTGCTTACATATGATTTAATTTGCTTACATATGATATGATGACTATTTTGTTATGACATTCTTTTTAACTCTTTTCTTTTGTTGTTAGTATAGAGGAGGATAGTATAGAAGATACTGCATCAAGGCTAGCCCATTCTTAGTAACAGTTCTCTGGCTAAAAGGTGTTTTCATATCATTGTTGTTGTGATTATTATTACTATGAGCACTACTACTACTACAACCATTACTGTGTCTTTAATGCACAGCTGAACAGCCTTTCCCATGTCAACTAAAAACCAGAATTTTAAAGCAAAGGCATTTTAAAAGCAGCTGTAATTGCTAGGCATCCAGAGTTGTAGGCAAGATTGTGTTTTAAACTGTAATATACGTTTTTACTGTTTTAGAGTGCTAAAAACTGTCATGGCAGGAGCAAAGGAGGTTGGACATGAAGGTGTGAGAGGTCTCCTCTGAGTGTTTGTGATATCATGGGTATATTGCTAGTCTGATAAAAGAAGAAAGTGTTCTCTCCAACCAGCAGCAAATAATATGACTGTGTTAAATACTTTATCTACCTTGCTGAACTGTTTATAATTTTATGACTCTCCTATAGTGCACAGCCTGACCTGACCCCCACAGTATATGAATCACTGGCATGTCTATAATTACCGTATGTGGAATCCTCCCCACACTGTACATCTCTTGCACATCTAACAGCTATTTAGGCCCTACTGTTCAGCAGAGCATACATAGTCCTTCACTGGCCAGCTTTCTGTAAGTGTGGGACATTGTGCAGACAGCCTGTGCTTAGGGCCCCACTGAGAATGTCCCTCAGCACCCCATCCTGCAGCCTGCAGGACAGCTGCTATTCCTGTCTACAGAGACAGGATGGGATAAAAGGCCATGGCACGGCAGGTCAGGCACAGGAGATAGAGGACTACCACAGGGAAGTAGACAACAAGAGCTCATCACTGACTTTCAGCACCTCATCACGTGAGATCCTGGAGTTCTGCCTTGGTGGTGCCAGCAGAGCTCGGCATCCCTGGAAGAGCAGCTCCTCACCTTTGTAGAGCGGCGTTTCTCTGGCCTTGTTGGAGATGTCAGGCTCAGCCCCAGCCTGCAGCAGGGTGAGCAGGCAGTCCAGGTTGCCCCGGCTGGTGGCCAGGTAGAGAGCTGTCTCCTCATTGAGGGTGCGCTGGTCGATGGTGGCTGGGTACGCTGTGGAGGAATGGTGAGCCCAGAGTCAGGGTGGCATGGAGTGCACACGTATCTGCAGCACCACCACCCTTCTAAATCCTTGAGGGTTTCAGTTTTTATCATTTATTCATTTCCATAAGCAGTGTAAATTAGGAATATACTATAATGTTACTATAACTCAGGTTGAGTACTGAAACCTGTCTTCAGTTTAAATTAAAATGTTCAGCTTTGGCCACTAGTGATGCAGAAAGTTGTTGAACAACTGTTCTTCACCTGAAGTTTGAAAACAAGACACAGTAATTATCCTCAGGCACCAGCAAAGAGATGCTGGGTTGGATCTCCCACCAGGGGAAAGTGGGCTTATTCCTGTCAGCTTGCAGCAGCCAATCAACTCATAACAGGAGAGAGCTCAGCTTCAAGGCCTCAGCATCAGAAATGCAGGGCTTGGCAGAATCTATCCCATATCACTTTCTCCTAAATATCCTAACTTTTAGAGGCTTCAGTCTGCAAACCTACTTTCCAAGAGAAGATGAAGTTAGTATACAGGCAGGGAGGTTGGAAAGAAGCTTCATACACAGCCCCAGGCGAGGATTGAAATACTGCTAATTTGGCCTTTTAGTTTATTCATGTTCTTCTTGTCCCTTTTGTAATTACTTAGTTTTAACTTCACTGACCTTTTTGCAACAGGCTCAGGCAGCCCACTTGGCCATAGTATGCAGCTTCATGGAGGGGTATCCAGCCATCCTTATTAGGTACAGAAAGGTTTTTTCCTGATTTCATCATGTTGCTTACTGCTTTTTCATCTCCATCCCTGATTGCTGCCACTACAGGATCAATTTCTCTTTAAAACAAGATTAAAACTTGGTTATTGCTTCCTTCATTACTGAGAAGCTTTCTGCAGCAACATCACTGGGTTTTTTTTATTTGCCCAAAAGAGTGAACCCCTGCAGCCTATACAGCACGTGTTTATACAGTGAGACACCATAGGGCCTGGAAAGTAAAATTTGTCTTCTCTAATTTTGTTACTGTCAGCAGATGAGAAGAATCGCTGTCTGGAGGTACTGATCACTCCCTTCAGAATGCAAGGGAACTAGGTAGGTGTAACAAATATCTTGACACAAACACTTATATTTTAAGTGTTGGGAGTTGAGGAAGACTGCCTCTGACATTGCTCTGTACACTGTGGAGTGCCCATGACTGTGGTAATTGCATCACCACACTGCCCCATGTGGCATGGTGCTTCCATATGAGATCTTTAAATAAGATCAGCTTTGAAGAGAATTACCCCTGCTCATCCTTGAAGAAATTTTTAGATTTGATTTGTGGGTGGCTTTAACAGAAATTATCAATAAATCTTACTCTTGTATTTTTAAGATACTTTTTATTTCCTCACACAGTCCTGTTTTCAGAATTTAGCCAGTCCACTTATGAAGCAGGGAGAGCTCTGGTTAGAGCATGTGAACACTGGGGTGTTGGTCTTGGCTCTCTTTTCTCCATCCAGGGAGGACTGAAAAAATTCCACCTACCCAGATCCCTCTGCCAAGCATGCATTCCGCACACCCTGGGCAGCAACCCATTTCTCTGAGCTCTGTGAGTGTTTGCAGAGCAGGGCTGACCTGGGCACACCAATCCTACTGCAGAGCAAGTGACAACTCCTGTGAGTCTCCCCACACAGCAGGAGTCCCAACACTGCCTGACAGCCACTTTTCCCCAGGTCAGCAGCACCTGAGCAGGACCTGCCACCCTCCTTCCACCCCTTCTGAGGCTGCAGCTAGCATGGCAGAGGTAGGGAGCTGGGGAGCTCGTAGCCTGCAGCCAAGGCACTCAGGACCCTTGCCCGTGGTGGGCAGCAGCTCTGTGCATGCTGGTGGGCTGTGCCTTCCAGTGTTGGCATCTGCTTGGGCTCCAGCTGAGCTGTGCTGGGACAAGGCACCCACAGCTTTGTTATTGTGAGGCAATAAATGGCTAAGATTCAGCACAAAGGAAGGAAGCACTTTAGCAGTTCTAATGGGGACTTGCAAAAAATGAATGTGGGCTATAGTTTCAGAGACAGAAACAAGAAGTTGCAGAAAGCACTGGAGCATTTGTGGTTTGAGCTAGCTCTACAGAGAAAATCTTGCAGTCCTGAAGAGAGAGAGATGTGGGAGAGAGGTGCATGTCTCAGTCTATTGGCATTGCCAGGGCAGGAATACAGCATGTGGTGGAGCTCACGCAGGCCAGTGGTGATGGGAACAACCAGAAACTCCAGATATGACAAGAGGAAAGTCTAAAATACCACAAAAGAGTGAGATCAGAGACAGAAAAAAAATAGGCAGGTGAGCACAGGATTCCTCACAAAACAGCATACTGGTGCAACCTGTGCACCTTGTGGGAGTTACAGGTCCTGCACTGAACTCCATTGCCTTGTAGGGGCTGGACAGACCAACAGGCTAAAACTCACACAGGGTTCACTAACTTCAGTTTGCCCAAAGGCACACAATCTATGCTATAAACACTGATATTATCATTGAAAGAAGTCACCAAGCTGGTTTTCTGAGGAAAAATTGGGCCAGGAGTGGAACAGGTGATCTCAACACTTGTGCCAGAGAATGGGAAAAGACACCATTTCCCAGGTGAAATAGTACTTGGTGCCACTTGCTCCTTCTCTATAGCTGGAAGCAGTGATTTCAAGACAGTAGGGTCACAAAAATAGCAACACTGGAATGAGGAGAGATATGGGACAGAAGGCCAGGCATTTTGCCTGAGAAGATAACAGCTAGAACAGGCAGCTGCTGTCCTGGCCACAGCCCTCCCAGGAGGAATCCACTGACCTTCTGATATCTGCTGCCCAGATGTCCCAGGGACACGGTTGGATCTCCATACTGCTCACAGCACCCTGGGGACTAAACCTAAGATTCCTAATTGTGTACATGTAATGGATTTTTATACAGGTGTTTGAGCATTTTGTTGACAGCAATTACTGGCATTTTTGGCTGGGAGAGGAGGCGGAGGTGGGGGATCTTCATCTTTCAACACCTCTGGCACAAGGCTGCTGAAACCATCTGTTGTTCTGTACAAAAGCTCAAGTTACACATGTAGGGCTGTGACCTCAGGATTTGGGCACATGATATAATTACTGGTGCTTAATGAATTACTGCATGCCAGGTGGGCCTTGGCAGGGTGTGTGCATGGGCTGGCTCACAGCAAATGCAAGGTAAATCACATTATCTGAGACCTCAGGGAAAGCAGGAGGGTACCTTGGATCTGTACTGGGGTTAAAAATGTGTGAAGAATCAGTTACTAATCTGCTTAAGCCCTCAGATGTTGAATGAGGCAAACTTCTGTTGGGTTCCTTGACCTTAAATGATTCCTGAGTAAGATGAGGGGGTTTGCTGGACCAGGCTGTGGATGCTTTAGCCAAGAAAATTCCAGATCAGAACAGAAGGTTTAATGAATCTCCATGTGAAATCCTTGTTTTCTGCCTGACTTATAGTTGGCTGTTGCAAAAACCCACCACATTCTGCTGCCTGGATTTCAGCAGCTATAGAAAATACAAGCATTAAAACTATGGAGGAGGTCTGAAGATATGAGCAAATCTTAACCCTTATAGGCAACTCAAAAGAATTACTGCATTTCAAAGACCAGTAGGCAAGATAATAAATACCCTTTGCAGATGAGATGTATGGTGAGGTCAAGTGTTGAAGAAGAGATTCAGTGGAGCATGGAAAGGTTCAAGAAGCTCCTTTTCCTGACAGCCTGGAGAGATGCAGGCAGGATGAAGGAACACCACTTCCCCAGGTGAAGCCAAACATCATCACTGCCTAGATCTGAGACTAAGGCAATAAAAATGCCAGTCATGCCATCATGCTCTCCTAGGACTTCCCAGCTATGTTTCTGCTCTATCTGGCAGCAGAGGAGGGCTGGTTTATCAGCCTTCTTGTAGACTGAACTCTATGCAGATACCTGCTGGAGAAGAACAGCCTGCCCTCAAGTCTTCTACTGCATAAAAAGGGCATGCAAAGAGTGCAGAGCACCTAGTGAGAGGATGTGATTTCAGTGTGGCCAAGGGAAGCTGGCAGGTGACAGGGATAAAGCAGGCTTTGTGTTGTAGCAGGAAGAGGTTTTCACAAGGTCAGGGAGTGCAATGCCAGCCGAGGGCTGGGAACAGAGTCTGATTCAGCCAGGATGAGGGGAAGGTGGGGGAGATTGTAGAGCTGGGTGAGAGGTGAAAGGAAGAAGAGTTGTGGAAGGGCAGTCCCTGCATTCAGGGAGGGACTTGGAAGATGGATTTAACAAAATTTGTATTGGGTAGATAGAGAAGGTGGGGAGTTTCTTTTCTGCAGGACACAGGGAAGTGCTGCCTGTAACACATTACCTTGTCATCTGATAGCTAAGGGCAGGTATCTATTCTGCACTGCAGAGAGCTGTAATAAACCTGTTGTGGTCCACACATTTCCAACACACACAGGCACTGGGACAGAGCTCGGGCCACTGTCTGCTTTTGTCATCCATGACTGTGTTCAACTAAGCTTATTTGCAGCTTCTGCCAACAGCAAAACAAGGCCAGGAGGATCAGTCATCCAAGACAGTTTCCTCCTTGGACAAGTAAGCCCTCCTCTGTGTGACTGGACAGCACAGGTATGGCTGGAACAGCTATGGCATCTTGGGAGCATTTATAAAATACTTATTTGAAGGACTGGATTTTCTCACCTTGTTTATGTACTGTGATACATTTGCCCCCTACTTTTCCCCATTGCTGAGCCCTGAACTTAATACCAATGCAGTTACTATCAGCACCTGCCTGCCTCATCTAGCCTGTTGATAAGTGAGCCAGCCTATGTAAATTAACCACAGTGCAGCCATCCCGTCCCTGTTGTCCTTCTCACCTCAGAACTTCTGACTGACCCAGAGTCCCCAGGACATGAGCACTGGGGGGATGGAGAGAGATGAAGAGGGAGAAGAGGACGAGGGATATTTGAGGAGGGTCACTTGCAAGAGCACAGGCATGGCCTGGGGCAGCGGGGAGGTTGGAAGGAAGAACAGGAGTGCAGCAAGGGCGAGGTGCAGGTGTCAGCGAGACCTCCTCCAGATGAACACCACATTTCCCCCCACCAGGCACCATCACCACCCAGCAGACGTGTCTCAGGGAGAGAGTGGGTAGCGAGGCTTGTTTTGGCTGCAGGGAAAGCAGGAGAGGGAGAGGGAGACACTTACACGGCCTGGGATGTGCTGCAGTGGCTGCTGTCGTACCTTCGCCTGACCCCCCAGGCTGCCCCCGAGCTGGATGGCTGAGCACGGCCTGTCTGCTGGGCCAGTCTGGAGTGGCGATGACATGAATGGAATAAGGAGAAATACTCCGAGTAGGAGAAACAGGTCATGCTGAGGCAGAAGCAGAGACACACATCCACAGAGACAGAGCGAGCCTGCCGGTCAGGGCTTTGAATAAAAGCAGATGGCCACGGCTTGCTCTGCGCTGGATTCAGCTGCTCACTCGGCTCGAGTTTATTTTTGGCCCTCTGAGGAAGCGTCAGGGGATTCAAATGACCATATAAGACAACAGTGTGGTTAACCCTACCACCACCACACAGGAAGCAGGCACAAAGCGAGGTGAGGTGACATTCATCACCTCCAAAGTGCCATGCAGACAAGTCAGAGGTGGGGGCAGAGGAGGACTCAGAGCTGCAGGATGTCAGCTCCATTTCCATCTCTGCTCTCCCAGGTGGCAGAAGAGTTCAGCAATGCTACAGATTTGGTGCTTCAAGCTCCAAAGGTTTTCTCTCTAGTGAGAGGTTGGACACTGCTGGGCTGAGACAGGACAGACAATGCACAGAACTGGTAATGCTGCTTTTTGCCAAAGGAGCAGGTATCAAAGGACCTTCAACAAGGACAGGAACAAATGGCCAGGGAAGCCCTTATTCTGCCCTGCATCAGATCTCTACAGGGGAGCTGGCTGTAGAGGTGCACAGTAACCACACTGAGAAACCACAGCCTTTGGTGGCAGCAGGGCTGCTGGCCACTCAGCATCCTGATTTCACAGCTATGCACATGCTTGCTGCTCATCAAATTGTCCCCAGCTTCCCAGCCCTGGAAACCAAGCAACCATAGGTAGTAATGAGCAAGGCATCAGAGGTGGTGGAGTTACGAAAAGGGAGGAGGAACAGAACTTCAGTAACTCTCAGTTTATTAAAAAAGGGAAAACTAAAGTAACTTAAAATATTGAAGGGATATTATTTCTCGCTTTGGAGGTGACTTTGGAATCTATTCCCATCCCCCTTGAGAAATCTGCCTTTTATAAAATGAAAGGGGAACAATGTCTGGGTTTGAAACTGTCAGTGGGTCTCTGTGGCCACAGCTCAGCATTGCAGGGGAGGGGGATGCTGCCACGATTTGGTGTCTGGAGTTGCTCTTGGTTAAGAGTGGTTGAAGTCAGACTGATCTGAAATAATCACATCCTTTAAAAATGAAAGTATGTAACAGGTAGTCAGTTCTCACTGTTTTATATACCTGTTTTTTGCTCCTCTTTTATGTTTTCTCATAACAAATGCTTTGCTCCCTCTCTGACAGAACCTAAGCTTGGCATACAGTGGGGGAAAGGAGCAGCTGGCCTTGGGAGGGCTTCTGTTGTTCAGGAAAGCTTGTGGCTGTGCCCCATTTTAATTTGTTGCTTAAAACAGACAACATCAAGCAAATCCTCCTCTCGCTGCGAGCACGCAGATTGTTGACCTCATTGGATTTACAGCAGGCTCCGGCTTTGACACTAATGACAGACTCGCAGAGGAGCCGCCTGGCAGCGCTAATTAGAGAGTGCTAATTAGAGAGCACGTGCACGGCCAGGGAGCCGGGCAGGGCTCTCTGGGGCAGAGCTGGGGCTGGCACCCCTTACCTGTGCCAGGGGTAGATGCGGTAGGGAGGGTTGTGTGGGTTGGCACGGCTTGGGGCGGGCACGTCACCAGCACGGGCCACCAGCGACTTCTGGGGGCTCTGGGCCACTGGCTGACCAGCCGGGTCCTCTTCCAGGCTCTGCTGGATGGCCATCTTGATCAGCTCATCTTCACTCAGGCTGCTGTACAGGCTGTACTCCTCGCAGCCTATCGTTTGTCTTTGAGTATTTGCCGCCGTCGTAGCCATTTTTATAACTCCTTGCTTTCCTGTAAAAAGGAAATTGTGATCATCAAAATCCGGAAAATGAAAAAAACCTGTCTTTTACTGACATTTGGGTCTGCCTCTTAATTAGGGTGACCAGAAAACCCTTCAGAAATCCTTCACCAGGAATTCTTCACATTATCAGCTAAAATCTGCATGTAAACTTAGTGAACTAACTCCTTTCAATTACACAGAAATAACTGGTTTAACTGGTGTTTAAAAAGGGGGGAGTTGTTGCAAGCAAGGCAAGTTTTTATCTGCTTGTTCTAGTTACCACATCTCAAGAGCAAAATAGGTAAAGGAAATCCCATTAAGATTAAAGAGACACATTTTTGAATTTTATTTAGGAGAAGACCGATGGATGTCTCTTTTTGTTGGTCTTATTTCTTGCTGTAATTGCAGGAAATTGAGGCAAGAGGTTTTCTCTACTGTTTTTTTCTGTAAGGACAGATTCTCTACCATGAAGTGCAAAGAGGCTTTGTAATTTTTTCCACCTTATCTGGAGATCTTCAAGCAACATACAAAGCTATGCTTTGAAGTGACTTTGTTTCACTCAGTGAGGAGAGCAAGGCCACAATGTCTGTTTCACTTCTGATTTTTTGGTTTTTCACAGAACAAAGTTCAAGGTCATGAGTGAGATGGAAATGAGAGAAGTGGGAAACATTGGGCACACTCAGCAATCACAGAATGACTGTGAACCACCACTGCAGGACTAAAAAGGCAAAGACAATTCAAAATACTGCAGAATTTCAAGCAGTGACAGGGGAGCACTGATACCCTGAACGGTGCAATGCTCTAGCAGGATCTCATTTGGATGCCAGAGAGCACTCTGGCCATCAGTGTCCAAGAGCCAAGGGTTTATTTAATGGGAGGAGGTGGAGAAGCTTGCCTCTTATAAGAAAATAACAGCCAGTGCGGAATAGGTTTGATTTTATAAGGGCTGAGCAGGAACTGTGTAAAATAACAGGGGGCACTGGGGTGAGGAGCAATGGGAACGAGCTGCTCAGGAGGACAGGGACATGACAGGAGAGGACAGGACCCAGCAGGAGAGGACTGTGGGGACATGTCCCCCAGGGGCAGAGAGGTGAGGGGCTGGCTGAGTGTAGCAGGGGAGCTACCAGGAAAGCTGCCTGTCCCCACCCTGTCCCACAGTGCCACAGCAGGGCTGGCCTTCAGCTCCTCACAGCCCTGCTCTGCCCAGGATCAGCTCCTGCTGCTCGGGGCCAGCAGCAGAGCCGTGAGCGTGGGGACAGCAGAAGCACCCCACTTCCCACTGCTCAGGAGCTGCCTCAGCAGCAGCCTCAGGGCAGCTGTCAGCTCCCTTGCCCTGCACAGCTGCTCTCTCCACCAAGCACCCAGCTCAGCCTGGTTTCCTGGGCACTCACACTGAAACCAGAGGGGTCCAGCAGGCCACAAGCCTCGCACCAGCAGGAAAGTGCCCTGCTGCAGCCTCCCTTGCTGCTGTGTGCACAGCCAAGAGACAGTCCTGACCCAGAGGAAATGACAGATCCCCAAATACAGTTTGAAGAAATTGCAAGAGCTTGAATCAATCAAGTAACTTAAAATATTTGATTTAGGCTTTTTACTTCAGACATGGTGATATTTCCCACATCAACAGCCACTTCAGGCCCTAAACCCGCTCCAGAAAAAGTGGGAACACTCCAGGTTAAAGGGAAGCCCAGCAGATTTCAGATTGACATTTTGACTTTCAACAACAAAGGATGTATTTTACAGCCATGAAAAATGCCAAAATAAAACCTTCAATTGCTGTAAATAATGCAACCCAGTTTTGGTGGGTTTTTAAATTTCTCTCTTTTTTTTCCCCCCTTTATTTTCAGCCAGATCTCTCATGACTGCTGTTGCTTCCTTTTTGCAGTTGGTGCCTCAGCTCTGCTATGACCCTTGCTGTCCCAAAGATTCAAGCCCAGGCATCACCCTGCTGGCAGCCTCCCTGTGCCCCCGCTGCTCCTGTACCTGCCTTTGGCTGCTCTCCAGCCAGCAGCTGGCTAGGAACTGTGACACAGCTTTGTTTGTCCAGATGCTCTGCTGCTGTTGGGCTTGCTCAGCCCCTGGCACGCTGGGCAGTACTCCCACAGTCTAGCCTAGGAATTCACGTGGTGCCTGGTGAGCTGCAGATGTGTGGAACCACCGGCTGGAGCTGGCAGGAACATCCAGCAGTCGTCTGCAGCATCCAGCTCTGCAATGCCTGAATGTAGGGACCTGGCCCCAGTGGTGACTCAGAAACCTAAACAAAGCCGTCAGCAGGGAGGGCAGGATCTGATCTTAAGCTCCTAATGGAGGTGATGCACAATGAATCCTTGGAGAAGGCAAGAATGGAGATGAAACTGCTCCCCTCTGAGGGCAACCTGCTCCAGTGCAGGCTGGGACACAGATCCCTCCTCTGTATCCTCCCAGTCCCATTGCCATCATTCTGATGGCAGTGGATCCATCGCTGCTGATCTGAGCTGGTGTTGCAGTGCCTTCTGTGGGAGCCTGGGCTTTAGGTAGTGTACAGGACACCTCTGCCAAGACAGCTCCCCACCCTGGCACAGAGGAGCTAAGTGATAGCTGCTTCACCACCTCCCAAATGGATCTAGGTGTAAAGGCCACTTCTGGACCTTCTTCCCCCCCTCCTTTTGTTCCACACATTCTTAAGGCAAAGGGAGCAAAAGGGAAGATTTTAGATTTGTGGGGATCACTCCTATTTCATCCTCTTATCCTTTGTAGGGGTTAACTGGGTCCAACCCACTCACAGAGAAAAGGGAGAACCTCTCCTGCATGTTGGTGAGCCTCGCTAATCTAAATATTTTGACAAGAGTTCCATAGAGTGCAGAAACAACAGTGTTGGCTGCAGCTCCCATCACTGACTCATCCTGCAGGGAGAAACTTCATAGGGCTCAAAATAGAGAAAGGTTTCAGTTCTGCCCATCGCACTGCACAATCATGATGAAGGTGTGGGGGTCACATCCTGAGCTGCAGGAGCTTTTGGGTCCTTACTGGGAGCCAGGGACAGCCTTGGCTGCCCTCAGCCCCTGCAGAGAGTGTTCTAGTTGGGCTTGAAGCTGTCCCTGCTGTCTCCACTTGCTCAGACAAGTGTGCAGCGACTGAGTTTGGCAGGAGGCTGGGCACATGCCTTCTTCCCTACAGCTCCCTGCAGAGCAGAGCAGAGCCACCACCCTCCCCTTCCACCTGAGGATGCTTTTGTTTGAAGCTGCAGGACAACAGGACAGGGGAACCGGTGTGAGTTATGTCTGTAAGAAGCTGCAGTGGGACAGCTGAGCTGCAATAACAGGCTGAGCACATGCCCTTGGCTTGAGGCTAATGCACCACAGCCTAATTCAGTTTACCCTTCTTTCCTTGAGGCCAAACTCAGCTGCATCACCTGGCAGTGGCCTGGCTCAGCTGACACAGCAGGGCTAAGTTTACCCCATCTGAGGCCATCAGTGAACTGCCAACCACAGACTTATAAAAGCTCACTAGGCTAATGTGCTATAAGCTAAATATTTTCCACCTTCTGTAATTAAGGTGTGAAAAAAAAATCAATTTTTGTTGCTAGAAATGTTTGAACAAGTCTGGATTAGTAAGATCTGGCCAAAGTGGTCTCTCCAAGTGCAGCTTGAATCTATTTCCTTGCTCTAAGCCAGCTTACTGTAGGTTTAAAGTATTGGAATTAGATTTAAAAGTTAAATGCTGTGTCTATTTTTCATCCTAACTTCAGGTTTTGGGGGAATGTTTTAACATTTGGCTGTGCTCTGCATTTCTCTGGCAGCCCAAGAGGCCATCTTCACATGCAGGTAGCACACAGCATCTACTGGGACAGCAGAACCTGTAGATTTTAAAGCTCTGGGTATAGGGCCCATATTATTTCTTAGAGAGTGCTTTCCTTTCAGGTCTGATGGCTTCACCAGTGATCTCTCTTGGCAGAGACATGTCTTGGAATTCTGCTGTCTGTGCTGCCATTTAATAAGTCAGTCTGACAAGATCTTCTTGAATCTAAACTTACCACCATTTCCACATAGAGTCTGATGCTGATAATAATTTTGCCTGATCATCCTGATTTCAGTGAAAGTTTGTTAATTCAGATGTGTAATCAGGCCTGTGCCATACAGAGGCACCTTAGATGCATCCAGTGACCAGAAGGTAAGGTTGAAAATAAAATACTTGTGCAAGGACCATGCTGCGACCTTCTAACCTGTGTTGATGAGCAGCTGTGCCTGGTAGATCTCTGAAACCAAAGGTACTGCTCACAAGGGGGACTACTGGTAATCACCTACATGATGGCAAAAGCCAGAGACAAACACAATTAGGTTGCTATTATGTTCGGACTACAAGCTCTGTCAACACAGTGCTTAGGAGAATGGGTCTCTGATCCCTGATGCAACATAAATAAACAAGGATTACGGCTGGCTTTGAACATGCAGAACCGTGCAATTCAATACCATTAGCATTTGAAACAACTGGTCCCCGTTGATAGCACTTCTTTAAAGAAAAGCTTAGCGAGGCTGCATGCCCCCCCCCAACAGATCTCAGGCAGCAGAATTAGCAGAATTACTTATTTCTGTCAGAGAAGCATGGCAGATAAGTGACAAGGTCATTAAGGGAACAGAGCCAGGCTTTGCCTGCCTTTGCGCTGAGTTTATTCCAGTCAGCTTGTAACTGAATACAGAACCTTGTTATTTATGGCTCAGGGTGCAATAAACCACATTTGTGAAAACATAACCAAGCCTTTGGAGGCTGCAAAAGAGAGAGAAGAGGAGCAGCTTCATCATTTTGCCTTTTGCGAGAAATGGTTGAGCTCCTGCTTCTGCAGATCCGTGTTTGCCTTCCACGTGTTTGTCTTTACTTCTGAAAGCAGCAGGAGCCCACATGGGGAAGGCAAAGAGGCTGGATGTCTTGCCAGCAAACGGAGCCTTCCTTCAGTTCTTACTGTGGCACCTTTCAGAGCAGATCCTCCGTGGGCAATGGAAACCAGACCGACTTGCAGCACTTAAAGTGCTCGCATTTTTGCTGCATTTCAGATCAGTTTTCTGATAAACCTTTGCAGTTTTCCAAGGGTATTATATTGGATAGCTGTTACAAGGAAGCAAATGATTTTTTTTTTAAACCAGAAAGATTTCAGTGCCCATCAGCTCTGCCGGAGCTGAGACATCAGAAGGATGACACCTCACGCTGCCCTGCTGCGGCAACAGGCAAGGATTCTTTGTGGTGACAGTTTATGCAAACCACTCAAGTTCTAGCCCAGTGCTGAAGGAGCAAAGCCAGGCTTCCCGAAGGAATCCTCTGAGCAAACAAATCCCCGTGTTCAGCCGCAGCTGTCAAAACAGGTCACCTATCAGCATGGCATATGCCCTGATGCCACCAAATCATGATTCTGTGCAAATTCTTTACTGGAAATCACACACCTACCTGCAAGTTTTTATTTCTCCTCAGAACATATTAATCCACACAGAAATTAGTGCAATATTAGCTTCATGTCAAGCCAACTAGAAATTTTAAAATTAAAGCAATTATTTGCTGATGAAATTTTTCTCTTTCACACTGTGCCTTGCATGCTACATTCTACCTTAGTATGCTTTAGCTACAGCATTGATTTCTGAGCAAAATATTCTAGGGACAAAGCTACAGGCACCACCTGCGAGTAAAAGAAAAATAAGGAAATGACAGAGCTACTGTTCTGTTTAACAGACAGTGTTTTATGGCATATTTGAAAAAAATACCAAAGCCCAAAACAAACAAAAGCAAATCACAAAGCTCCCGAGACTGTTTAGGTGTTAGGTTACAAACTGCTGTAGGAATAAATATTTGCATAGACATAATGAACTGAGAGATTGAAAGTACTAAATAAGTTCAAAACATGCATATTTGCATTACCTTTTTGTTCTGAAATAAAAGGGTTATAACTGTGTTGAAATGGGTTATCTCCTTGGTTAAGTCTTAATTCAGAAAATCCTCGCTGGTATTTGTCTCCCTGCTTTGCCTGGATGTTTCGATCAAGTGCAGGACAGCTTTGAAACACACTCACTTTGAAGCCCGGAGTTTATTTCTGGATCACCCCATGATCAGCGAATACAAGCCAAAATATAAGTTGTTCCCAATCTCAGATTTCCTGTTTGAAGATGCACAGCAGAAACTTGTACCAATCCTGAAGTTCTTTGTTGCATTATCTGAAGAACTTCACTTCATCAACATCCTGGAGCTAAATGACACAAAGCTGACCTTTCTATTACATCATTATTTATTGTCCCTGACAAGTAGACCATATATGGATATGTTTCTGGAACCTAAAGAAGAAAAAAAAAAATTGCCATATAATTTTCAAGTAAAATATGCTGTCCTGGAGAGTTTTATTTTCTTGGGGAGAAGTGACCTCCATTTACTTTTGTTTTAGCTGATGCTTTTTAAAAAAACAACCAAATATTACTGGGCATTTACTGATGTCTTGGAGTTGTTCATATGTTTTTAAGGCTGCAAGTTGGAGACTTCAGGATTCCAAAAGATGACAACAGCACTTGTGAACCTGTTCCAAGTAGTATTTGTAAGAGCTTACTAGTGGAATAGGACTGCTCTCATATCACCTAATTGTGAACATCAGACTCTCTGAGTCCTCAAGGCCATAAATGTGAAGTGTTACCCATCTTCCCCACATCCTGAAGAAGGCAAGCTGGCCAAGGAGGGGATAGCACTGTTCCAGGGATGAGTTAGAATAAAAGAGTCAGGCACATACAGGAGAACTGTCCCTTGGATAGTCTGGATCATGGGAATAATACCGCTCACTTTGGGAAGGTTTCCATGTGTTTGTCCAGTGAATACAATGAATGAAGGGAAACCATAATAGGATATCAAAGTTATGCCTATCCATTTTCCTTCAGCTCCTCTTTCACTCATTCCCATGCCAAAACATTGCACACACTGAGAATAAAGACTAGATGGAAGTGGGTCTGGAATCCTTTCTCAGTACCTTGTGGAGGCTCAGGTTCACTGAAGGAACCCTGTCAATGCATGAACACCCCCATCTACGGCTTAGCAAGAGCAATCTTGAAGGGAAAAAATGTAGCAAGACTATACCATCCACTAATATATGATTCCTTTCACCTCATCTGCTTTGTTTTTAGAGTCTTTCAGGACCAGCATCATTCCCTCTCCATGCTTGCTCCTGAATCCATCTTGCTCCAGCATGGTATCACGGTGAGTACATGGCACATCTTCCTTCCCTGCTGTCTGAAAAACAATCTGCCCCTCATAACTAGTGCTGGAACTGTTCTGTCCAAAGTTAGTCATTCAGCAGTTACAGTGACAGACAAAAGGAGCCCTGAATGTCATCACCAAGAGTGTGAGAAACTCTTACACCCTTGACAAGATGTCAGCCAACCCTCTGTGACTTTTAAACAACACCCAATGCTTTTTCCCTTGATACTGTTTCAAGATTGTAACTAGCCTTGGCTTAAAACCATGAGCATCTCCCACATTTAACCCTTCCGCTTGCTGTTTGGCAGTCTCTCACCCTTGATCGCTGAACTCAAGAAAAATTGCTGATGCTGTGATTCAGATTCGTGCTTTGCAAAGGCAAAGGTGTCTGGTTTTCCAGGATGGCCTGTTTGATTATGAAAAGACAGTGGGGCTCGAGGTCCCATGGGCGGTGGACATTGCAGGTGGCTCCCCATGCCACTCCCAGCAGGCACACTGCAGCTCCCTTCCCTCCCACGTTTCTGGGCTTCCTTGCAAAACTCTGTGCACCCTTGATGTATTTGAAGCTGCTATGAATGCTGATGCAACATTTTCCAATAAAAGCACGGGACTCTGCTTCAGAAGATCTATTTTCAGATACCATTAGCTCTCCCTTTTGTCTTGAGTAAATAATTTAACTCCTCTGTGTATCATTTTCTACATTAGTGAAGTGGAAATAATCAAATGCATTAACTTCAGAGAACAGTCCAAAATTCCTTGCAGATGGGAAGCCAACAGGACTACTTATATGGACACAGACTGCTGAATAAGACCTTATTTAATTAGTATCTGTGAAATCCTCAGAGGACAACCTCATATAAGTTTGAATTTTAATTACAGAAATAACTATACAGAAATGAAATCATACATTTGGGAGTTGATTTTTTTCCCCAATAAAACAATATTGTGGCTTTATTACAACACATCCAAAGCATAATAATAACAATCATGATTTATTAGCATTGCATCAGATTGGCTAATATTTCCCCTGGGGCATGAGAAGTTACAGATCTGCATTTTCAGCTTGACTCTGAGACATTTTAATACATTACAACTGTCACCTGCAAAAATAAATATGTAAATTTCCACTATTTTCTGGGACAGATTTCATTCTTAGACACTGCATATTAGATCTATTCACTTCCTTTAAATAGAAGTGATGGAAATGGCCAACTCATGCTGATGGGAGGGAGTCAGCTAGGGTCTCACAAGCAAGGCACAGAAGAGATTTGAATCTGGGAGGACAAAAGAAGGATGACCATGTGAAAACAGATGAAAAAATAACCAGCAAGATTGTTTTCTCCTTCATATTTCCTCAAAATAGCCAGAAGAAGCCAGGTTAGAAAAGCACATTTAAAATTTCTTTCCTTTGTCTCTACTTCCATTAGCTGAATTAATTATCCTGTCATCACTACTAAGCCCTTCAGCTCTACTAAGCTACACAGCTGAATCTGGCAGCTGAGGCTGGAGGAAAAAACAAAGTTCGTTTGTGCATCCCAGGAGACCAGAGAGCTTGTTATTGACTCCCTGTGTGTGCAGAGCTGCCACAGATGTGCCTTCACGTGGTGAGGGGCAGGTGAGAATGGGCATCAGCACAAGCTGCTGTCCATAGCCTGTATCTACCAATGGTGGCTAACTCTGCTGCATCCAAACACTTGGCACGTGTGTGGCTCTTCTGAAAGGAAGAAAATACTGACTACTAGTTCTGATAGTAACAGTTCTTGCACAGAAAATCCTCATAATACCTTGCCTCAGGACAGTGTATGTCTTTGTGCACCAATTACCTCTAACTGCTGGCTTGTTACTTAGATCTGGTCTGAAGTTTTCCTGCAGAAAGACAGCAAGGTATTTTGAGTGGCACATTTCCCTGAGAGAATAGAGCTAGAGTACCATCATATCCAGTGAGCAGAGCTTTGCATTCAGTGTTGCCATGCTGTGCTTCCATCAGACAGTCCCAAAGATTTAATCTTTGCCAACACCAGAACCACGAGCACCTCTCCTGTGCCTCCTGCTACACAACCCACATTCAAATAATGAGAATACAGAAACTCCCACATGAAAAGATGGTTTCAATTTCCTTTGCAAGAACTAATGATTGCTTTGGCTACAATACCCTGTGAGAGGCAAGGAGCCAGAGGAACTTGTATGGGAAAAGGTGCAGGATGTCACGCATGCCCAGGGGTAATGAATATGATATACATTTTTCCTTACTGACTTTGCTGCCTAAATACTTTTTTGATGGAAAGATGTAGCTGTTTTGAGATCACTCTACCAAGATTATATTTCTCCTTTCAGGAGGAATTTATTCAACTTCAGTAGTTGCTGACACACACCCTGAATTAGGGTAGACTTTGCCTCAGTGCATGACTTCTACCTCTGCACAGTAGCTCCTTCTCACAGAAATTTTTTCCCTTTCAAACCTAATCAAAATGAAGTCCTCACTCCTCTAGAAATGTGACATGAGCACAAAGGAGAGCAGCCAGTATCCAGGTCCTAAGACCACTTTCAGGTATCCAATGACTCAGCCCTGCCAGCGAGCTTTGTAAGAGAGTACAGCTACTACAGTCAATGCCGCTCTGCAAATGTCACCATAAGGTCACATCCACTGACTCAACCTGAAAGAAGAACCAGTCAGAGGGAACATGAAAATCTAATATGAAGTGAACACAACCCAAAGACTGTATAAACAAATGCATGTTCCTTGGAGGAAGAGTGAAATCACAAACATTATCATTTAGTTCTCTTTGCTGTGCAAATATCATTTATCTTATGTTATAATGTATGTTAGTAAGAATTCTAATGAAAAACTTGCCTTTACCTTGACCTTTACAAAATCCACAAAATTCAGAGATATTGCTGCAATCCCAGGGCTCTGAGGCTCCTGCAGGGGAGCAGGAGGATGGGAATGGCAACCTGAGACACAAGCTGCTGTGAATAGCAAAGGTCCTGGGAAAAACAGTGTCTCCAAACTGATGGAAAGATGAAAACCAATTTTTATGGAAAATAACTTTTTCATAGGTTTTTAAAAGAAATCCTTGGATATATGCAACGGCTGTTTACCTCTGTTTAGTCTCTTAGGATAGTTTATGAGCAAAGTCTCTCTTGAAGCTTTTCTGTGTTACTCTCGAATTCCTTTCAGACTGATTTGTTTTTAACTACTGTGTCTGCTGTATGCAATAAGACCTATTGCATTGCTCTCCTTCCCTTCCTGCAACATGAGAGGCTTTCTGCATATGGATCTGTCTTTGCTTAACTCTTGCCACAAATAAACAGACCTCAAAAAACCAAAAAATATCCCTGCCTAAAGTCAGCAGCTTGCAGTAATGTCCATAACTTTTACTACAATGACATCCAAGGAGTTGCAGGTCCCTGTATGCTTGGAGGGAAGCTGAGACAGGTACTAGCAGAGCAGCAAGGCAGAGCACGACTCTCCTGTGCACAGCCCCAGGGGAAAAGTGCAGGAGTTGGGCTCTAGAAAGGTGGGCTCCAGCCTGGCTTGGGGTGGATGCTGGAGATTGCTGCTGACCAACTCAACAGAAAGGGACTCAGCTGCTGTGGAGCTCAGAGATTGAAAGCAAGGGGAGAGGTTGTCCTCCACTTTGATCCTGCTGTGCTGGCCCACTCCCCTGATGAGGTGGCCAGGTCTGGGACATGGGTGGTTGCGTGCAGACAAGAGCAGCAGAGGCTCCAGAATAGGCCATGCTAAAGGACATTGCAGCAGGCTCTCTATTTACCCAGGGCTGGTTTTGTGTGCTGTCAAATTTGTATAATAAATACAATCCCTGAAGCCCTGTTCAAATGAACTGTCCTTTATATTGCCATGGAGAAAGCTTCTTTGTCCTGCACTGACTGAGCATGCAACCAGAGAAGAGCAGAGGTTTATGCCTCCTTTAAGTTCAAATCACAAAGCAACAGGTTTGATTCACAAGGCTGACATTTAATTATTTGCCCTACATCTCAGGTTAAATTTAGAGCTAAATTTAGAACAAGTGTCTGGACAGAATGTCATGACACCAGTGTATATCTGTTGCACAACATGCCATATGAACATGTAATG